GAAGTTAGCTTGATTGCATTATGGCAACACTTGGACTAGTCATTTTAAGATTTTTTTCTCATTTAATTTACAAAAATTTGGGAGTAATTATTTGATTCTAGTTTTATCACACCCTAAGATCAAGACATAATACAATCATATTATCTTGAAGTAAATTTTCAAAAAAATGCGAAGTCTTTTTTCTTAATCATTCTAAAATTCTTCAATAAAATAATATGTCAAGTAAATTCATATCTTTAATCCAACTAATAATAAATATCTATATATCCAAATGTAAACTAATAAAAATATAAAACCATTTCGTGAAATATCATTAGCCAACAATGTCTCTAATACCTAATTAATCTTTTTAATTTGATCCTCTAATTTCTCTCAAGACTAAGCAAACTTATTATTTTAATCATCTGTAAAGAAAAAGTAAAAAGTGATAAATAAACTACAACTTGGCAAGTATAAAATCATACATCTTACCAGATCAAGCATCATTTTTATACATATCATATAGATCAAGTATGTTATTTACCAAAATGCCTTGGGAGTTGGGAATTTAAACGATTTGGCTTACAACTTCTAATGTTTACTTTGGTTTTTGAATATTGAAACTTATCTGTGTGTTTTGATTGATAAGAGAGAAATAAAAAAGAAAAGAAATAATCGAATAGAAATTAAAAAAAAAAAGTGATTTTAAAAGAAATTAGACGTAAATTGAGAAGTGGAAAAAAATGAAAAGTGGAAAAATGTGCATGAAGAAAATTTCAAGTGACAATTTCTTTCCCAATTAACTCCGCGATTTGACATTCAAATAGGAAACTTTAATAAATTCTCTGTAGTCTGTTTCACTTGTATTCTTTCCAATTCTTACAACATTCAATCTCAATTTCAAACTTTATCGTTACTGTCTTTGGTATAATTTTTCAAAATCACAAACATATTGCTATTTGAATGTTAAGTGAAGACCGTCGAAAGAATTATGATTTTGTTTTATAAAAATTGTTTTATAAATATGATTTTAATTTTTAACTATATACTAAAATAAATTTTTTTTAATAATCTAATGAAAAATTGAAATATTACACATTAAAAATCATACCTTGCATATTTAATTTTTAATGAAATTATAAATACAAACAAAAACTGCAATTATAATTAGACTAAACCCACATATTAATTTGGTCAGACTTTATAAAAAAAGTTTAGATGATCACCTTCCATGATTTTTTACACATTGACTGTACTTGATCACTTTGATTGCAAAATATTAGACCTTGGCTTACAAGGACTAATATTTCCTTATCAAAATACCTTTTTTTCAAAAGAAAAAGTAGCAACAACAAGTTACCAAGTTTTAAGCTAACAATACGCAATTAAAAAAACCTTTGCATCAACAAAAGGAAAGCTAGAACAAAAAGGGCCAGTCTTTGTTCCTATAATCCTCCCAATTAAAATCCTAGTGAAAGAAGGTTTAATCCCATAAAACATTTGTTACAATTATTATTAGTTGCTTATTCATTTATATGGTTATTTATTCGAGAATAAAAGTTGTCATGTTAAATTTTCATAGAAAAAATTTTCTTTAATATATCTATAATTAAGTATATAATGTTAAACTAATGAAATCTTACCTTAGTGTTAAGAAAAAGATCTTAAAACCAAATAAAATTTTAAGTTCAAATCTCATTATATATAAGTTTGATTCAATTTTATATTAAATTTATTTAATTATATTTAAATTTATTGATTAATTTGCTTACTTGGTCAATCAATAATTTTTTATATGTAAATATAATACTTAATAATAATTGAAATTTATACTTATAATTTCATAAAAAGAAATTGTTCCAATAATATATAATCGTACACCCAATATCTTCTTTTTCCTAAAAACTTAGAGAAAAAAAAAAAAAAAAAACACACAAACACGTACAGAAGCTATGAGATTTATCAAATTTAAGATTTCAAGGCAAATGCTGTTTCAATTACAGTTCACACCTTTCACCCTTCCACGTAGAAAAAATTGTTAAATAATTTAATTTATGATTCTTAAGCAAATGGCTGGAATAGCTCAGTTGGTTAGAGCGTGTGGCTGTTAACCACAAGGTCGGAGGTTCAAGCCCTCCTTCTAGCGTTTTAACCCTTTTTCGTTCAAACCCCCCTTCTAACGTTTTAACCTTTTTTCGTGTTTTTTACCCCAATGACAATAATTAGCCGAACCCAATTTCAAAATGTTGGTCGGCCCGTTAATCCAACCCAATTTCTAAATTGACCCAATCTATTTTTGTTTTTAACTAATAGCATAATCCAATTTTAAATGAAACTTTTTTTTTTTAATACAAAGATGATAACATTCCTAATGTATCTAATCCTTACAAATTTAATAATTTAATGAAATAAAAAAATTTTATATGTTCTCTCATTTTCTTTGTGCATTTTTTTGAATGTTTTAAAAGTATGTCTTTTTTTTAACAGTTAAAGTTCTTACTTTTTATATTTTAAAATTATTATTTATTATTTTTTTACTTTTCAGCATTAAAAATCATGAAATTTTAATTTTATAAAAAATAAAATTTAACATTAAATATATTAAAATTAAAGTTTTTTCTTTCTAACTCCCATAAAGTCAATATATGATAAATATTTTAAGACAAAAGGACTATCAATTTTCTAAATATACTATTATATTTTGGAGTTTTGATCAATGAATAAATACTTAGATAGATTGTTAAATCGATGAAAATTTCGATCATCAATTCAATCAATTTAATCGATTCAATAAACTACAAATAATAAATTGAGAATTTTAAAAATAGAAATCTAAAAATAGAAAGGAAATTGAGAAAATTAAGAAAAATCAAGAAAAAAATTTCAGAAAAATTAAACAACACATAATCAAATAATACAAGTAACAAACAAATCCATCACAACTACAAGGCTAAAAATATATTTAAAATTCAAAGTTCAAACATTAAAGAAATCTAAAATCCAAAGTTCCAACGTCCAAACTTCAACAAGAGATAGAAAAAAAAAAAAAAAAGTCCACATTGCTAATATAATGGGATGTTTCAAGAGTTCACTTTAATTTGGGTTTAAAAAGCCCTAAAAATTAGAAAACATCACTAGTTTTCGGTTTGAGTGGATTTAAGTGGAGGCAGCTGCACAATTGCGCCCACCTCTAAATCCTTCCCTCTTTGTGCAATGTATTTTTATAGAATCAATTTTTGACTACTGCCAGCATTTTAATAAAAACATATAAAAATAAATTATTCTTATCCAAAGAGAATATATTCTTGCTTACAATATTAAAATTTAAAACAATTTAACCTTAATTGAGGGTATTGATTAATTTAATAATTATTTGAATAAATTAAAGTCAGAACAGAAGATTTTATATTAGAAATTTTGTATCAATATGAATACCTATAAAACTTAATAATAAAAACTTACAATATTAGACCAATTTGCATTTATAATTAATTGTTTGAAGAAATTTGCATGAATAGTTTTGAAGCTTTTAATAAAATAACATGTCCTTCACTACATTGCTTGAAAATGGTAGATAAATATATATATATATATATACGTTGGTACAGGTCAAATTGAAAAGAATGGATATTTTAAAAATGATAGACATCCATTTCGTTGTCATTTTAAGTTACAGTCAGTAATCGAAGATGATGTCAAGGATCTTGTGCATTGCCGATTCCCGTTTCGCTTTGTGAATATTGGAGGTGTTATGGTATCTTTGCTTCCTCTATTGAGAGAAACTTGTGGGTATGCGTATGACCCCGATTTATAATAGCCGAGTCTTTTACTCATTGATTCCCACTTTAATAAAGATAAGCCTTTTTCTCACCGTCTTGAATTTAAATTTGTTTGGCGATGGTCTTATTTAATTGTGTAAATCTCTCAATGTGACATGTGGCTTTTGTCCTTCTCCTTTTTTTCTTTTTTCCTGACGGCGTTTATGGGTGAAAGATTGACATGAACTGCTATTGTCTTACTCAGGGACGAAGCTAGACATAAAGATAAAGAATGGATCAAACAGTGAAGTTGATGAAAAAAAAATGATGTCAAGTGGAATGATTTAATTAATTATTTTTATTGAAATTATTTTTGAATCATTCAATAACATACTTAATCATTTTACAATTCTGATAAAAACTACACATTGATCAAATATGTATTTTCGGATATTTAAATAACTTATAAGAACGAAATTTTTATATGTAAATAATTTTCGAAAATGCATATTCATAGTTGTTGTTAATTTGGTATAAACAAATATATATCTAAAAAGTTTTGATTTTTTTTCATTTTTTAAATGTATATTAAAAAATGTTTAAGTTTTTCAAAAAAGTGGATATGAAAAATTAAAATTTTTTAGATATATATATCCGAAAAGGCTAAATATGTAAATGTTGATATGATTCAATTGATTTTTTAAGTAATTTTAAAATGTGTTTGAAATTTGATTGTATTTAGCATTTTTTAAATAGAATGTATTCATTTGGTTGTAAAGAGAAAATATTGGCTGTAAATAGAAATTTCCATCGATTAATCAATTTATTTAATATTATAATAATAAATTAGGGGATTAAGGTAGAACGCAACCACCCTTCTTTTCCCAAGCACGTGGTTAGTCTTTTTGCCAGCTTACCAATTATATTTTTGTTAAATATAATCATATATTAACGTATAGAAAAATCATTTATCTATATATATAATTAAATTTACCAATAATATATATGTTAATTAATTTTTTGCAATAAATCAGTTTTATCTTTTTCTTCTTTTCCAATAAATTAGTTAAAATAAAAATAAAATAAGAAAAGTTACCGATTAATTTTATTTTTTGCAAGTATTAATTATTTTTTAAAAATAAATTAGTATTAATAAAAAATATGATATAAAATTTAATATATTATAATATGAAAATTTAGCATATTTATATATATGTTCCTTAAAACTGAATTTTTAAAAATTAACCTAGAATTGAATTTTAGGTTTGTGTTTCTGATGAATTTGACATCATCAGGATAACAAAGACAATTCTCCTCTCAGTCACCTCGGAGACATGTGATATGAACAATTTGAATTTGCTTCAAGTCAAATTAAAGGAGAAGCTATGGGGAAAGAAATTCTTGCTTGTATTGGATGACGTTTGGAACGATAACTACAACCATTGGTTGGCGCTTCGATCTCCTTTTGATGCAGGGGAACCAGGAAGCAAAATAATTGTCACAACACGTAGTTCCAAAGTTTCATCAATTATGACAAATGCCGCAGACTACTCTTTGCAATGCTTATCAGAAGAAGATTCTCTCAGAATGCTTGCTCATAACGCATTAGAAAGAGAGGATTTTACAGGGCATCCAGACTTAAAAGAGATCAGCTTGGAGATCTTGAAGAAGTGTGGTGGTTTGCCTTTGGCAACAAAAACCATTGGAGGACTATTGCGCACAAATGTGAATTATGATGCATGGAAAGTTATATTAGAGAGTGATATTTGGAATCTGCCTCAACATGGAAGTGACATAATTCCAGCTCTATGGTTGAGTTACTATTATCTTCCTTCACAATTAAAGCAATGTTTTGCTTATTGCTCTCTAGTCCCTAAAGATTATGAATTTGGTGAGGAAGAAATAGTTCAATTATGGATGGCCGAAGGCTTCCCAATGGAGCAGACACTAAAAGGCAAATTGAAGATTTGGGCCGCCAGTGTTTTGAAGAACTGGTATCAAGATCATTCTTTCAAGCATCTAGCCAGGATGAATCTCTGTTTGTAATGCATGACCTGATTAATGAACTAGCTCAGTTCGTTGGAGGAGAAAAATATTTTAAAATGGAGAGACATGAGGAAATGAAACGCCCAAGTCACACTCGCCACTCCTCTTATATAATAGGCGACTATGGCAATATAAAAAGGTTTGAGTCCTTTTTTGAAGCAAAGTCACTACGGCCCTTCTTACCCTTCTCCCCCTTTGAGATGCTGATGTGGCGTCCGCACTACTTAAGCAAGAACGTTCTCAATGATTTACTGCCGAGATTGAAATGCTTGAGGGTGTTCTCTTTGAAAGGTTACTACATCACTGAAATACCAGATTCCATTGGAAATTTGGGACATTTACGATATCTGGATTTCTCTTATACTGAGATAAAAGGTTTCCCTGATTCAGTATGCACTCTTTATAATTTAGAGACTCTTTTATTAACGTTTTGTGGGGAAATTAAGAAGTTGCCTTCAAAAATAGGAATGTTAGCCAACCTATGTCATCTAGACATTGCTGATGCATGGATGATAAAGGAAATGCCACGCGGAATTGGCAAATTAACAAATCTTCGGGCATTGTCTAATTTTATTGTGGGCAAAGGCGATGCATTGAATATAAAGAGATGCAGAATCTATCCAATCTCAAAGGTCAGCTTTCTATTTCAGAGCTGCAGAATGTAAAAGAAGCTCAGTATGCGGGGGAAGCTAAGCTATCAAGTAAGCCTGATCTCGATGAGTTAGGGCTGAAATGGAATCGGGACTTCAATGAAAGTTTAAGACAGAAAGAAGTCGAGACGGAGGTTTTGAACTTGCTTCGACCTCATGAAGAGCTTAAAGCCCTTGCTATCAGGTATTACGCAAGAATAGCATTCCCAATTTGGATAGAGGATCCTTCATTTAAAAATTTGCAATCATTAAAGTTTGCAAATTGTCCAAATTGCACATTATTACCTGCAGTTGGAAAATTACCACATTTAAAGGATCTTTATATCAAGGGAATGAGGAGCGTAACTAGTGTTGGCAATGAGTTCTAAAGAGAGAATTGGTCAAATGCATTTCCTTCATTAGAGACATTGCATTTTGAGGATATGCCAGAATGGAAAGAGTGGAAGGCATGTGAAGTTGATGAGCAAGGACGAAAATTCCATTGCCTCCGAGATCTCCTTATTGTGGGTTGTTCCAAATTGATAGGGCCATTGCCGGAGTACCTTCCTTCATTGGAAAAACTTGAGATTGGTAATTGCCAAAAATTGGTAGTTTCAATTTCAAATCTTCCAAAGCTATGTGAATTAAAAATTGATGGGTGTGAAAAAGTAGTCTTGGGAGTTGTATGGATCTTTGGTCGGTAAAAAAATCACCCTTTCCAACATTTCAAAATTTGCATGTGTAACAAGGGAAAGGATGTCGACGTTCCAGTGGATGAAAGTAGAAGATCTCAATGTTAAAGGTTGTGAGGAATTGGTTTCTTTGTGGCGAACAGAGTGGGGTTCGTTGGTTCCTTTGAGATCTCTTCGTAATTTAGTGCTTGAAAATTGTTCACAGGCTGCTTCTATAGGGGCAACGGAAGAGGCGGAAAAGGCAGAGATTTTGCAATTAGACATACACTGCAACATTGAACATTTGAGAATAGAATATTGTGAAGGCTTCCAGAAGTTATCAAAAAACCTCAAGTGTCTTAGAAAGTTAGAGATTGGGAAGTGCCCAAATTTGGTTTCACTTTTAGCGGATAACTTGCCCTCAACCCTTAAATGCTTGGTGATTAGTGAATGTGAGAATTTGCAGTACTTATTGGAAGATGGGGAGAACATCAATTTCAGCAGCACATCTCTCCTTGAATTTCTTGAAATTCATGGATGTGAAGCTCTCAAATCATTATCATCAAGCAGTAAGTTACCCGTCGGACTTAAAACGTTGGTGATCAGTAACTGTCCAGAGCTGAAATTTGTAGCACAAGAAATTGGGGATAATACTTGTCTTGAATCAAGTCTTGTCATAATATTCAGTATTTACCCCAAGGAATGGAAAAGCTTAAATCTCTGACTCTCGATAGGTGTGAAAAACTTGAAGCTTTGCCCAACCTCAAATCTCTTCAAGACTTGACCATATTGACTTGTCCAAGGGTGACATCCATCCCAGAAGGGGTTTACCTTCCAACCTAACAAGGCTTCACATCTTTGGACTACCCAATATTAGTAAGGCAGTAATGGAGAGGGAATTGCATAGACTCACCACTCTTAAAGAACTCCGAATTCATGGTGGTAATTGCGATGCGGTGACATTTCCAGAAAGCGGTTTGCCTATCAACCTAACCATGCTTCACATCTCTGGACCCAATATTGTTAAGGCAGTAATGGAGTGGCGATTGCGTAGACTCACCTCTCTTAAAGAACTCCAAATTAATGGTGATAATTGTATAGATGCGATGTCATTTCCACAAGAGGACATCAAGCTGCTCCCTTATCTCGACCATATTTCTATCTCAGACTTCAAAAATCTAAAGAAGCTATCCTCAAAAGGCTTTCAGCATCTTGCCTCTCTTCAACGTTTGTCGATACGCAATTGCCCGAAGCTCAAATCCCTTCCCAAAAAGGAAGTGCTTCCTTCGCTTTTGGAGCTACAAATTTTTGATTGTCCGTTGCTGAAGAAAAGGTGCAAAAGGGATAAAGGAAAATATTGGTCCAACATCGCTCACATACCTTATGTTGAAGTTGATGAAAAATTCATCTAAGAATTATAATCAGCAATGTTCGGCCCACAGGTATTTTAATTTGAAACTAATACGACTATTTCAACTGATTTTTTTTTTAAATGTACAAATATATCTACACAAGTAAAAATAAAATATGACTTGAGCGAGCACTGAATTCATTTGCATTTAATTTTTCAATATTTTTAGTTATTCTTTCTTACTAATAAATCGAAATGATAAACCCATTTCCTTATTAAGCAGAAGAATTAGATCATGTATGACTCATGTAGTTTTAATCTGGAATTAATTAGTCTTTTAAGTTCTGATTTTAAGAAAAATATTTTGTTATTAAGTACTGATTTTAATATTTACTCAGTTCATTTCTATTTTAAGTATTGATTTTAATATCAACTCAAGTATTTTATTTCTTTGGTTTCATGTTCTTTTCAATGTTTTTGAATTGATCATTGATCTGGTTTTCTTTCATCCAATTTTGTATGGTACCAAATGAACTGTAAATTTCTAGCTTTTGTCCAGATGTCCAATCTTAGAAGAGAATTTCCCATTTTGAGTTGGTAGATGTTTGGATGTGGCCTTGTCTTGTTTCTACGAGAGGGAGACATATATAGCATTGATGCAAGAAGAGGAATTTCTGTCCACAGGCTTTCAGAATCTGTCTGTTGAAAACATGGTGAATTCTCAAACATTAATCTTTTGCATCTCATTTCAAAACGACTAGCCTCTTCATTTTGTAGATAAATATGGTTGAATGTTTGTTAATTGCTAGTCAGACGATGCAAACGTGATAAAAGAGGAACTGAATCAAGAGAGCCTAGGCACTTTATGTTTCCTCCTTCCATCCTCTTGATCATTGTAGGTATGCCTCCTAAAACATCTTCTCTATTATTATTATTATTATTATTATTATTATTAATCAGTTCTAAAATTCAACCTTTCTCCCATGAGTGGAATTCTGCACCATCAATGAGCCCTTTGAGCAATGACTTTGCTCAGCCACCTTCCATTGATGACTTTCAAATAGTGATGCTGAATGTTTGGATGTAATCTTTTCTACAAGAAATAGGCCTAATGCAGCCCAACTTTTGTTCATCTCTTTTTGAAAGTTATGGTTTCTTCATTTTTGTAGCTAAATGACTGTCCCCTGTGATCAATTGGTCAAGTGAATCAGATAGCTTGGGTGCCTTGTGTGAATGTTAATGACAGATTCATCCATTAGCTACAAAAAAGAAGCATGAATTTTCAATTGGAAGCCAGGTATCTAGATACTGACATCTTGTTTGGTAAAAATTTTAATTAAAATGAAGATCACCATAATAAGTATAATGTATTCATTGTACTAAAACAGGCAATTGACGAATTTCTCTGTTAAGGAGCTGACCATTGATAGCATGCTCCTGTGTGTAATAAGTCAGGTATTTCAGTTTTAATTATTTTCTTTTGCCTTTAAATTTAAGGAGATCTAAATATTGATGGACCTTTGGACTTCTACTGCTATGAAGATATAAGTTTCTTGGCAATAGACCATAAGCAGGCTGGAAATCCATCTCTTTTCTTATTTGTAAAATGGTCATTGCGTTCACTTGACACTCCATGTCCTTCAAATACTGCAGGTGAGAACAATAAGAATTTTCTGGTTTCTATCTTTCTTGTGTATATGCGTAATGAATGCTCATTTTGTATCACCAATTATTTTGGCTCTTCAGGAAGTATTTATTTCTACCACCATTGATTGGATGGGACCAAATATAGTATGACGGTTGCTATTCCATAAGATGTTCTACCACTTAGTCTTTTGTCTGCGTTATTGCCTTCCTCATTATGCCATGTAAGTATCTAAGAGTTTTAGAGAATTTACTGTGTTCAGTGTTTGTTACTTACTCCCGCACAATTAACAAAATGGTTTTGCCTTTTTATGACAGGATGAATGAAACTCACACATTCTAATGCTCTCAAAGATTCAGTGGTGGGAAATTGTCTAGGCTGCATCTCCTCTTCTAAAAAGAGTTTAGGGGTTTGTAGGTGGACGCACAAGGAAAAAAAAAGGATGAGAAAGAGACACCGTCCTTCAATGAACAACCAGACATGGTTATGGTGTCTCCACAAACAGTTGCACTTTTGGTGAGATTGCTCATGTTATCCAAGAAATTTACCTTTTCTGATGATAACTTCTTGTAATAACATGTGATTAAACTAGAGAAGACTCATGTTGTAATCCATTATTTTGATAGTTGAAGATTGAGTGGACTTGGTCCCGTGGTTTTTTCCCCTTATTCATGAGGTTTTTCACGTAAATTTTGGTGTTTTATTTTTTATGAGCCGATGATCATTTCTTTTTATTTCTTTGATATCTAATGATTAATTGCTTATCAAATTATCAATTTAATTTGTCCAAAGAGGGAGAAAAAATTAGAATTATGGTTGAAAACTGGCACAAAATACTCAACATGGCAAGAAATCTGCACGATCATATGTTTTTTTGTTTACAAAACTGTCATTCTCTGCCTAACAACAGTTTACAATCCGTTATCATGCACGCTATTTATGTTGGAACATAAGATTATCACGCGAACCAAGATCAAGGTTGAAACATCAGCCAAAAGATCTAAAACTTAAATAGTAAAAAATTAGTACTTTATTTTTTCCCAAGAGTTACTACTAGAATGCAACCAAAGTGGTTTAGGTGGTTCTGTTGCTGCTTATTGGCTCTCAAATTCAGCTCTGAATTCGCATTCTCTGGTGCTGATGCCATGGCCAAACATGTGATTCAGCCTGCTGTGCCGTGCGTTAGCAGGTTTTCTTGTAGCAGTGTCATGTTCATGCCGGCGAACATGAACGTTATTATCGCTGCCACGATCGGGACTGTTTAACGTGTCGAACCCACTCAGAGATGCCACGTTAGCATTAGGATTGTAATTGATTGAATTATATAACATTCAGTTCAAGTTTAACTTTAAATTCGAGATTCAAAATTTGGCTCAAATTTAATCTGAGTATTTTTTTATAACTCGAGTTTAATTCAATATAAAAATTAAATTACTCAAATTCGTTCAATTGAATTCGATTAATATGAAAAATAAACTCGATTCTCATATTTTACAAAAACTCGATTATTTATCTTTGAACTCAATTCGAGATATTTTATTAGTTAAAATAATAAAATTATTAAAATATAAAAATTTGATTAGATTCGTGAGTTACTAGAATCGAATACAAAAATATTCGAATTTAATTCAATCGATAAGTCGAATTATTCGAATTCAAACTTAATTCGATAATAATCGAGTCGAATTTAAATTTTATTCGAATCAAACATAAATAATTTACGAATATTAATTTATTATTTACACCCTTAAGCACTCTTAACTCGTTTCAAAAACTTGTTCCAGATAGCTACGGAGGTTGGTTCTACTAGCCTAGTTAAAGACGGTACTTAGGTTGAATGCCAAAATTCGGTGATATTTCAATGACACATAAGTACACATGCATATATTTAACAATTATAATTTGGTATATAATCATTAAATCTTTATTTCAAATAATTAAGAATTTCATGAAGTATCTAGAACTTGCTAATAATTGATTAAACCGATATTTTTATATGTTGTTGTCATTACTATTAGATCTAATGATTTTAAAATATACAATCATTCGATATAAAAAGGATAAAAAAAATATATACAAGTGATACGAATTAAAATTTTAAATTATATATAAGTTTGATAAAAACCAAAAAAATTAATTTTACATTTAATATATTGACATAATTTAATATATTAATTTTTATATTTTATACATATTTAATATTATATAAATTCATGAATTATGAAATCTAATTATGTCTTATACTTTAAAGACATTTTGGATTATTCCAACTGCAAGATAAAGATTTGCTCATGCCCAAATCTTAATTACGGGACACCAAAATCTTCATTGTGTTTTAACCCTTTTCACTTTACTTTTGGGTAAGGATGGAAGCACAGAGAAAGGGCATTAGGGCAGTTATCTCCACTGAGATCTTTATCCCTTTAAAATATATTATAAAAATATTAAAAGAGTTCAATTCATTTAAAATGCCCATATTGTAAGATAAAAGTCAAACTTACATTAATTAGAAGTGATAGGTTTTTAAATTAAAAAATATTTTAAGGTTATTATAAAAAAAAAAAAGCAGATGAATGGATTGTAAATAAAAATAATTGATTTTCCATTTTCCTCTATTTACCTCATTTGCAACTTTTAGTTTTTTATAAAAAAATAAAGACAACCAGAGAAGAAAATTAAAAGGAAAAGAAAGTTTTTAAACTAAAGAAATAAATTACAAGTTGATTAT